TTTTTTAAAAATAATAATTCCGTCGGAATTCCGTCGGTTTTGCTACCGTCGGAAATCCGTCGGAAGTTTTGCCCGTCGGAAATCCGTCGGTGACACGTGTCGTCGGAAATCCGTCGGTGGCACGGGTCGTTGGAAATCCGTCGGTGACACGGGTCGTTGGAATTCCATCGGAGGTTCTGGCCGTCGGAAATCTGTCGGCAATGATTCCGACGGATTTTCCGACGGATTCCAGTTATCCCTTTTCCGTCGGAAATCCGTTAGTATTTCCGACGAGATAGAACCGACGGACCAAAAACGTCGGCAAGCCGTCGAAATAGGCCTTATTCCGACTGATTTCCGACAGTTTTGGCCGTCGGAAACGGTCCTGTTTTCTTGTAGTGAAGGTCCAATTTTGAAATCTTCAATTCTAAAGCAGATAATTTCATCTATTGGGCTTTTCTATGACACCGACTATACAAGTCCTCTTGTACCTTACTGGAATAGAAAATCCTATCTCCATCACCGTTAACTGATCTACCACAACACATTAAGTGGAAACAAATGTTCTGGGAAGAAGGAATCTCTGCAACTTGAACAAAAGGGTGGACTATAAGTTACCAAACTAAAGAAGAGTGGATTTGAAAAGGGAAAGAAAATAGTTTCGAAAAATTAAAAATCTAAGACAATGACGTATTATTGATCATAGAAAATTGTACCAGACAAACCGAGATATCAAAATTTGAATAATTGTCATAGTGTGTTTTGCATAACACATTAATTAAGAAATGCAATGGCGATTTTAGTTATAAATTTAAAAGGGAAATTTAAATCAAACAAACATGTGGGGGCATTGCTCAAATTAAAGAAGAGATCAAAGAACAAAAGTGCTTTGTTGTAAAACCCTATAAGAGATATGTGTCCACGCAATAGCAAGGTGACGAAACATTTGCACAAGTTGAGATAAATCAATCTATAAATGGAGAGCATCTCACAGACTTGGGTTAGAAAATAAAGTTTTACTTTTAAGCAGTAAGTCGAGTTTCATAGAGTGAAATTTTCTACATCCGGCAAAACGTATTGGGAGAGTGGTAAAAGTGGAAAAACCCTATTTTCCTCTTAAATTTTCTACCTTCGGAATAACGTAATATATATCATCTATCATCATTCTAGTTTGTTCCCTCTTAATTTTCCTCTTCACCTATATATGCGAACTCCTCCCCAGTCGCCATTTAAACTCCCAACCAAACCCCTTGGAGCGATTTATCGCTTGTTCTGGTTATTCTTCCCGGCTTTAAAGTTGGGATAGCACCTATAATCAGAAAACCCTAACATTTCTCCAACTTATGTCAACAATGATTTAATTGACATAGCAAAGGCAAATCTGGTATTAGCCATGAAATAATATGTAATTGACATGAGGATCATGTGAGAGAGCGTGATTACTGGTATGCTTCTGATGGTATTACTTAAGTCCAACTTCATGAGAAGAATTCCAAACATACCAGGGGCGAAAACCAAGCACATTCATGACCTGAAACGTTTAGACATTTTTTTTACCTTTCTCTTGTTTCTCTTGGCATTCATTACAAGGTTGGAACTATTTCTCTCCGTCGTTAGAGAAAAAAGAACACTATTTCTCTCTGTATTTTGTCCAAGTGCCAAACCATTGTAAAGAACAAGAAGTTACATGCAAAAAATAAAGCCGAATGAATTAAGCTGGAGTTTATGTAAAAATGAGGGGACTTGAATAGTTTGTGAATCTTTTACTTTATAATACTTCAAATCTAACACTTAACTTAGGTACATAATAGCAAGGAAGCAGATTGGTGAAAGGATGAGAAGGAGTCATTTGTCTGAGGTTTAGTGCGAGAAAATACAATGACATTGCATGATTCACCCCCAGTGTTATCCTTTTACCAAAAGATTTTCCAATCAAACATATAAGCAATCGAAATCACACACATCTGCGACCAAAATCAGATCATACAGATACACTCATTATTCACATCTAGCTCAAGCGTATCAGGCTCATTACCATTGCGAAGAAACGCCATTAGAGAGAGGCGATAAGGGCCATTCAAAAGAATCTATGACGGACGATGATTTGCTACTCAATATATGGGTCAAACACAACCAATAGAAGCTGTTGATGATTCATCTTTACATGAACATATGAAGCATGATAACAATTTGATAGAATCAAGAGAAACATTCAAACTAAGCAGTTCACACAAACGGGTGAATGCAAAGTACACACTTTATATTTGCTAAACCTAGGGTACGAATATGAGGCAGAATAAGTTCGATACACATACCATGGTTGAGGAGCTGGAGTTTTGACATCGCTCAATTATTTCCAGTTTTGTTGTCTTCTTTTTTCGAGCAGTTTTAATGGCCTCACCTCAAATCTCTTCGACCAGCACTCGTTCACCTTTCTTTTTCCAGTTTTGTTATCCTCATTTCTTTGCGAGTAGGATGTGGAAATTGATGTGTAGTCTTTGAAAGAAGATTTAAGGCAGAAACGAACCATTAAACCTTAACAATTGAAGTGGAAGACGAAAAGGTATCAAATTGAAGAATCTGATTCATTAATTTTAGAAGACACGTGTCACCTGGATGGAGAGGATTCTAACCTTATAAGCCCCAAATAGGCAAAAAAATTTCTTAGAGCCCTTGACAAACCTAACAACTCCTNAATCTTTCCCCTCTCAACTTTACCCTTCTTTTTTATTATTATTATA